ATTTAGGACAACGGGGGAGGGGAGGGGGGTACACCCCCCATAAAATTGCGCCTGCCTTTTCACTCTTTCCTGTTTTGCAATGGCGATTAGGCATTCCAGTAAAGTTAAAATGCAGAATAATGCGAGGAAGAAGAAAACGGGAAATCGTAATGCTTTCGTTTTCTTGTTAGCTGCATTGTTCTGCATTTCAGATTCACCGGAATTCTTTATTCCTCCACATACGACTGCGGGCGCCCGACGAGTCTTCTTGAGCGAACGTTTTGAATGTGGTAGGGAGTGTGTTTGTAGTGTTTGCTTGGAGTGGATAGTGCATCGCCACGTCACGTTTTCTCGCCGCATGTGACCCCATCGCCCCTCTCTACCCTTCCACGTGAGGGAAGTCCGGGGGCGGGCGGCCCGGCCGGCGCCAAACGGAGGCGAGAGCACACACTAACCACTTGCCACTTTACAGTTGGGCGAATACGACCGTCCCTACTATATGCGGTTTATTTCTGTTTATTTCGAACAAACTACCCACCCCCACCCAACCCCCGCCTTAGGTCCGAAACAACGATTGGGGCTGTGCTGTATCCGTCGTCCGCGACCAGCGGCCTGCAGCCTGCATGTCTGTGGTCGGGGTAGCGGGTAGCAGGCACATCGCTACGGTTTGCTAGAGCTTGCCTACGCGCGCCTACGCGTGTACGGTCGGTACCAACCGCGTCACAACAACTCGCACGTTGCTTTAGAAGTGAAATAAAATCATTCAACCCCCCCCACCCCAGAAAAAACGTGACGAGTTATTCAACCATTTGGCAGATCCCCTCTCAACGGTACTTTGACCCCAGAAAAATTTCACGTACTTTGTATTTTCTCGTGTGCGTGTGTGTGTGTGTGTGTGTATGTATGGGGGAATGCCCGCCTCTCCTCTGCTGTCACACAGCCTTGGTGACGCCCCCCTCGCCCGCCTTGCCCCGCCAGCCGTGTCCGCAGCGCCCACTGGCGGCGAGGTCCCCAAGCCGGCCGAGCTGCAGCGCCCCGAGCCGGCCGGCCCGGCCACGCCAGTCAGTCAGCGAGAGACGTACGTAGAGTGAGGAGCAGCTGCAGGAGTAGCGGCAGGACGCTGCAGGGCCCGCCGGTGCCTGGAACAGGACATCAGGGACACAACTTCAGACCATCCCAAGAGTCGAGGCAACTGGCCCACCCCGCAACCAGCGTCGCCATGGCCGTCCCACGCAGCGGCTAAACTCCAACCACCAGGATCCAACCCAACAGAACCGGCTGACTACAACCAAGACAGTACAAATCAGTGATAAACAGGAACTTAAGGAACGTTAGGGAAGAACAGAACTTTCAGCAAGTACGGAACTGGTGGTACTCTTAGATTAATTGTGTAACAGACCAAGTAGGGAACAAACAGTGAAACAAACGGTTCAAAACTATTGCAAGCAAGCTCCTACACCCCCCCAGTGAGTGCGCCAGCCGCATCAACTTCAGTTCGTCTCAGCCTGTCGGAATACTGCAGCCGGTGAGTAGCGCATCCATTGTTTGGTGACACGACTGACAGCCGTGCGCACCGGCGCCGGCCGGGCCGCCGTCGAGGTCGAGGGGAGCGACGACAGCCCTCGCAGGGGGGCGAGCCGGCGACCTGCCTCAACAGCTGAGCGGAGCTGAGCGGGCGCGGGCCTCGGGGGCGGCAGCCGGCGGCAGCAGCCCCGGGAAGCCCACGTCGCCCGCGCCCGCTGGGCTTACGCAAGCGGGCGAAGCCTCCAGGGAGGCCCAGCCCACGCATGCGGCTCGTGTGCGGGGGGGAGGCCGGGGCGATCTGATTTAGACGGTGCCGGCTGGGACGGTTATAGTTGTAAAGTTGTGTCCGTTTTATCTTAGCATTCACATTGCGGGTGGCCTCTCGATAAGGAAGTGCAGTGGCACAATATCGCCATGTGCGGGCCGGGCGCGCTTCACGTGATTGCCATGCTGTGTCCTCCCGGCGTATGGCGCCTGCTGCGGCTCGCACTCTGCTGCCCGCCCCGCGGCACACGAGAAGTGCACGCGTTCCCAACACACCCACTCTCTGCCGTGAGCGTATGTATGTGTATGTATGCGGGGGCAGCTTCCACTGGCAGCGTGCCTCCTGCTCGCGCCCGCCTGCATAGAGTTCAATGAAACCCATCTCCCGAGCCGCGCCAGAGGCTGTGCCACGCCACGCCGCCCGACCCAACAACGCCCCCTCAACTTTCGTTGCACGGGCTCCCCGAAAAGAAAAATAGAACACCGCGGTCGGAAATAGTCCCCAGCCGCGGCGTGCACTTGGCAGTGGGGTTCCCGTGTCTGGGGGGGGGGGGGGTACACAAACTCTTGCTATTTTTTGGGAGGGTTGGGTGCGGTAGAATCTTCTCGGCCCTAGAAGGGAATATTTTATTTAGGTATAACTCGTCGAGGAAAACGTGTTGCGTGCGCTGGTGTACATTTAATCACAGCTCCTGGACAATCTTAATTTCGAATGAATATTTTTGATGGAATTATGGAATTTGTGCACGGGCCCCTAATCCTCTGCAGAGAGGGGGATTAAATGTAATTTACCGCTGACGGGATCTCGTCGCCGCTTTCCCCTCGCGGCGGCGAGCCTGCAGCGGGACGAGCGGGCGGGGTGTCGAACGGCTAGTTTATGAACGGACGTCTTGGCGTCCAGGAGTTGTAGCACCAGTCGCACTGGGCTGTGTGGGGAGTGGTCTGGGCCTGTACTACGTGAGAGGACGACGACTGCTCGGGCTCGGCTTGGAGCTGGGATGGGCTCGGGGCTCGCCCGTCTTTTTGTTGTTACCTGTCGTCCCTCCACGCCGCGCCACCTCGCCCACAACAGTGTTGTTGTGCGGTGCACGGGACGGGGGCCGCCCTGGTGCACCGAGGCTCCAGAGAAGCCCTGCCCTCCTCCCTCCAGTCCCTCCCCAGAGGCGCAGTGAAAGTCGCCGGCGCGACCGCGGCCGGCCCGGGTCTCGGTGGCGTAGGCAGAGGCGCCCGTCGTCGGCACATCTCGTCTCGTGTATATTTTTGTACGCTTCTTTCAGCTGCAAGCGGACGTCCGAGAAAGGGGTTGCTGCGGTATCAGTGTTGGTTTAGTCAAACAGAACGACGACGCCGGCCCCAGCCCAGCAGACTGCGTCCGAAAGCGCTCTCCTAATGACACAGGCGGGCTATCACCGCGAGCACACACGCCTCTGTTTGCCCACGTTGCCGAGCCCGTGCGTGGGCATGGGGGACGGGGACGCAGGAAAGGCTTTCTGCTCGCGCTGTTTCTCCGGGAGCGGGGGGGAGGGGGGAGGGGCAAGGAATCTGCTGGGCGGCTCGGGCTGGGGGCTTGCTGCGCCGAGCGCTCGTACTACTTGAACCACGGGGTTAGGAGGTACTATGCATTCTTGAGGTAAAGACTAGGAAAACTCAAGTAGACTCGTGTGTGAATGTTGCACACCTGTCGGTGTGTGAACACCATTGGTACCAATTCGTTCACATGGAAGCACAACTGGAAAATTCACCCCTTTACTTCCGTAAGTTTACGAATGCTCATGCTCACACACTTGTTTCCAGCACGCAGTCCACTTCAAGGTTCCCACTTGCTGTGCATTTGGTGTACATACTCTGGTCCTAGTGCAGGAATGCGCTCCGGCTTTACGGTCGGTCCCGGCCCGGTGCCTATTGACTAAGGGGCCGTTCACAAATTACGTCACGCAAATTTTAGGCGGTTTTGACTCCCCCCCTCCCCTACGTCACGCGGCTAACCTAACCTTCTAATGCTTTCAGGATAGGACCGTCACGCGGGCAGAGACCCCCTCCCCCCCGTCAGATGCGTGACGTAATTTGTGAACGGCCCCTAAGCGGTGCCGTGCTGGCCGCTCGGCTCCGGCTGGCCCGTACCGCAGCGCGCGCTGCCATTGGTCGGGGACCACGTGAACACCACGTGACGGCCGTATGTATCTCCGCCTCTCCTCGTACGTTACGTCCCCGTGCCGTTGACTCGGCCAGCGGTGACCGATAGGGTGCATAGATGCGTGCCGTATCTGACGCTCAGCGTCTTCCAGAAGCAGCGAGTTGGGGCGGCTGGACGCTCTCCCTGGAGCCTCCAGCCTCCTACGCCCCTGCGTCGTGCGGTGGCCTACGTGACGCTGGCCCGGTCGCGTAGGGCCGGGCGGGCGGTGGGCTGCGCCCGCTGCGCCTGGTGTAAGACGGCTGAGGGCGGACCGGTTGGCCATCCATTGGAATGACCTGGGCGAGCGCCGAGCGAGCGGGCTGTGTGGGCTCGGACTGCACCGCCGTGGCCGCGAGCAGATCACGCTGCTGCTTCAGATCTCGCGCAAGCCACTTCAGGAAATATTAACTTCCTAGTTTTCTTTTCAAATTTTCGCCACTTTTGCCTTTAAAACAATTTTGGTACATTTGTATAGTTCAGTTGACAAAATATTGATTTTCCTTAAATTCTTGTATCAATTTTTTATTTTATTTTTGTAAATCTACATGTTTGAGTTTTTTTGGCCAAAATGAAGTAGAAATGGACCGATGCTGTGCCCGCTTACAGACTGGGCGGCAGCACCATATACTTTGTTGGCGACGGTCGGCCCTCCCCCTGACCTGACCTGCTGACTGTTCACCTTGTTGACGGCGTGGTGGCTTCCTGACCACGGCGACGTCGCCCCCCAGGTAGGGGAGGCGATCCCTCCCTCCCTCTTGATGATCAGTCACCGCTTCGGCGCGCGGTGCTCGCGAGGCCTGTGCATCGCATAGTGCGGCGGTCGCGAGGCGGCCGGCCAGGACCCCTCCCCCCCCCAGCTTTCCCCGCGGCTGACAGCTTGACGCCACCGCCGATGTCCCCTTGCTAATTTGAAAGCAGCAGGTGCCCCGTGCCCCGCTCCCACTCCTCCTCCCCCACCTCATCGTGTGACTCATCTAAGCCCCGCCGGCCGGCAGCTCGACAGCTCTGTTCGCCACCAAGTGAATGGGCGAATGTGTAGATGCAATGATTGATACTGGCGTCCTCGCCGAGCAGGCCGTGCGGGGCCTCGATCCTCTTCGCTGCATTTGCTGCCCCCGCCACGAGATTAGGAGGAAGTGTTCTGCTTCCCTCCCCCACCTCCTCCTCCTCCCCACCTCCTCCCCCTCCCTCTGTCCTCGCGCCAGGGGGCGATGGTCGCAACCTCGCGTACTTTTCCTCGCATCGTCGTGACCCCCAGGAACGTCTTCATCGCGTTTATTATTGTCTCCTATACAGTGCGTTTCGCAGTCCGTTTATCCCCTCCCCCCCCCCCCAAATCCATCCTCCCCTTTTCACCTCGCTCACTTATCCTGGTCTACACAAATATCATTGTGCAACAAGTTTCAGCAGACAGGTCTAGCTGAAATTTTATTGCAGGTGAGTTTGTTGCAAAATGCTTTTGGGCCGCTACCGTTTTTAACTTTGTATTTCTGTTCCTCCCCCTTCCTTATGCCCCACTCGACGCGCCAGCACCGGCCACCAGCCATACCAGAGCACGGCGGGGGGCCGGACGGGGCGGGGGCGGCATGCTCGGCCAGCGTGCTTCTTATCCGTTTTTACGTAACAGAATTTGCTCTAGTTGCAGTCTGTCTGAAAGCCCATGGGTGAAACGGCCGCGTTGGGTTTTTGAGCCAGGAATAGAAGCGCGCTGCCAGCTGATTTGGAATGGGCCCCGCATAATCTACAGAGTCGTTGGGAGCGCGGGGTATAGTATTGGGCCTGTGTGTATACATATTAGTATAGTGTCATGAGAAATCTGAAAGCGCGGCGCTGGTGTGTCTTGTCCACGCGGTGGTGCGGTGTGAAGGGGCGGCCCCGATAGCCCGGGGAGCACTTTGAGGTCAGCTCGGCTGTTTGCCTCCGTCTCTTTCTCCGAGCAGAGCAGCCCGAGCTGGCCGAGCACGCCGTGGCCTCTTGCTCTTGATAACCGCCCGTCGGCTATGCTCATTTTGGTTCGGGCTTGCCTGGCCTGGCCCGGCTGCGCTTGGCTGCCGCTGGTTTTCGATAAGTTTTTGTAGTCCCTTTGGCCACCACCCCCTCCTCTCACCGCCCTTCCCCATAGCACCACCATCACTATATAGATATATAATTGCGCTTCTCTCACTAATCGGGTGGGCACGCTATTTTGTTTTTTTGGTGACATCTAAAAAGTGTCTTTTTTAAAAATTTAGTTTTGTTCTTGTTTCGGGTGGGTTGTGAAATGCTAGTGACAACGGTTTGGCTCTATCGTGCCACTCTGAGAGCAGGCCACGCGCTATGATAAGTCCAACCTCCTGTTGAGGTAACTTCGTCATTATCGGTTTTCAAGTTCTGAAACTTTTCCAGAGAAAAATGGTAAAAATTTGAAATATCCCAAGAAAAACTGGAAAAAATGAATCTCTTGAGGAGAAAAATTAAGATTTTTACCAATTTCCTCGTCAATACTTTTTTGGAAAATTAGAACCCCTACTCCCAAGAAAAGGTTCCGTAATTTGCGCGTTCACTTGGCAGAACTACCCCAATAAACGCGGCTTACGCACGGCCCCCGCGCGCTCAGTGCGCGGAGCTGGTGTACGGATCACCTTGGGCGGACATACGGAAGTGCAGTCGGCAGGTCGGGCTGCTGCGGCTGTGTGGCGAGCGGTCAACGGCCAGCTGCAGAGGAAGAAGTGGGAGGGGGTGAAAACAAAGCGACAGAAAAGAAGTGAACGCGACCCTCTTTCCTTTTTAGTTTCCAAGTTCTACTGTAACGCGGTGTGTACCCATACCTCTGACCCCGCGCGAAGAAAACAAGAGCGTGACACGAAGCACGTGGGCTTTCCCCTGCTTCTTCAATGTTATAAATCTGAAAAAAATCCTAAAATGAAATGGCTGTCTTTTGCCGCAAAGTAAGTGTATACCGCGATGTTCCCACGACGACCTCATTTTCGTCGCGGTGGGCGGCGGTTGCCGGATGATCGGAATTTGAAATTAACAACATGCACCTTGCCCGTTGCCCGCGCCGAAGACTGTCGCTTCACGTGACTTATTTTTCTTTCATTTCTTTTTGACACGATAGTCACATGCCCCGCCCCGCCATCAAGCCGAAAGTGTGTAGCTTCTTGAACTTCAGCTGCTGCTGGAGCAACAAAACAGAACGATGTGTGCGGCGCGCGCGCACTGTTGCTGTTATGTAGCGACGCCTTTTTCTGCATGGGTGGGCGAAAATGCGCGGCGATTTGATAAGAGGTGAAAGGTTTCGTCTAAGCGCGCCCCGCCGCCGCCCCGTCCGTCGCACAGATATGATTAAAAGACAATGAGTCTTCTCGACCAACACCAGGGCGCTCCCCCCCCTCCTCCCCGCTCCCCCCAATCCCTACGGAGTCGGCTCTTGACCCAAACTGCTTGTGGAATAAAGCCCATACGGGTTTCTACTTTGTTGGACGAACCTGTTAGGGTTCAATGGGTTTCCTATGTGGGACCTTTTGCCTGCTGGGGCGGCGAACGCGCGTTGCCTACTTGCCAACGCTGGTGGGGTTGTAAAGCTGTCTCCGTTCGCCTACGAGGACACGCCCAGCCTTGCCCCGCTTTCCCTTGGCCCTCTGCTCCTCCATCTGTCTCGGATTGCTGTACTTAATGTCCAACACACGGCCGCCGCGAAGAGTCACTGACACTGTCTGCCCGAGCTGGCAGCGGGTTTTGTTTTGCTCTGCTTTCTGTCAGAATGGCGAGGCGTATGTCATTGACGATCTGAAAGCCGGCGAAGGCTTTCGGACGGCGCGCGGCCTTCTAGTGGAGGACAAGAAGAAGAAGAATCGGGTCAAGGGGAAGACGGGCGTCCCTGGTTCTGGTGCTGCTCCCAATCGCATGCGTTTTTGTTCGGTTTGGAAAGCGGGGGTGGGGGTGGTGGGCGAGGGACTTGTAAACTGTAGAATTGATGAATGAATGGAGGGAATGGAGGGGTAGGGGATGGGGGATGGGTATCGTATCAACACTTCGGACGGCACCTAATCTATCAACCCTTCGTGGGGCTTAGGAAACACCTGCGGCGGATCGGGGGGAAGTTGTTGCTGCTGCTTCGTGGGGCGGTAGAGGCTAACACAGTACTCGCGGGTTACGTCTCGCTCGAGTCGCGCTTGTCTTCACGCCGGTCGCGAGACCGCGGGACCTTGCGGTGGTGCGAGAGAGTCGACCTGGGGTGATCGGCCTCTCGCGGAGCATAATGCCGACACGGCGCTATCAGGTGGGTAGCAGCCCGCCCCGCCACGCCCCGCCACTCCCCGCCGCCGCGCCGCCGGAAGGTCGCCTGCTCCGCCGTTCGGCCAATCGCAAGGGGGGCAGAGCAGCTGAGCCCCGCGGCGGGGCCCAAAGGATGTTTGGCTGCCCGCCGGGCCGCGGGCCGGGCGGCTCCTATCGAGGTTGAGCACGCTCCGGCGCGGTGTGCCGAGTGTTGTCATTGGTAGCGGTCATATTGCAGGCGGAGGCGGCGGGACACATGCTTCACGCGGGAGGCAGGCAGGCGGGCGGGCGCACGGCGCGACAGGTAGAGCGTAGCGCCACTTGAGGTTATCTTCCGCCCGCGACCAACAACGGGGAAACATGGACCACCTTATCGGGGACATTTCTCGAACGTGTTTCGCCGTGTTACGTGCGCCGCGGCGGCGCCGTGTCGCGAGCGACTTGCGTTGCTCCTGTTGACGCCCCTTGTTGAACAGGCTGGGGGAGGGGGAGGGGGGGTACTGTTGCTAACAACCCGCGAGTTGCGCTGGTCGCGGCCTCACGTGAGGAGACAGCAGCACCGAGTCGCACGTCCTCGATGGTGGCGGTGGTGGCCGCCGCTGCTGCTGGGATCATGTGGAGCGGCCGTGGAGGGAAGTCCTCCTGACAGAGTCCTGACCGGCCCGACGCGGTGTTCGGCTGCCTGCTGCGTGCCTGGCACGTGGTCGGCGGCGCGCCGCTGCGTGGCAGCCCGGCCCACGCGGCCGCGGAGGGGACGGGACGGGACCGGCGGGACCGGTCGCGCTATTTTTATCGAAACGGGCGGCGGCGGCCCCGCGGCTTCGGCACCCGGGCCAGGCTCAGGCCCAGGCCCAGGCTCCCCGCGACCAGGCCACCCGGCGGCCAACCAATTCCACCGCGCGAAATTTCGGTGGGCGCCGCTGCTCCGGCCGGCGGCGCCCAGGCGCCTTGCCCCCTGCGGCCCCCCGCGGCGCCGCGGGCCCCCTCGCGGGCGGCCGGCTCGCGGTGACGTGCGCGTCTCCGCCGAATGGTAATTGGCAGCGCCGACGTCAAGCGCGCGAGCCGCGGCGGTCTGGCTGTGGGGGCCTCTGGCTGGCCTGCAGGGCGCCCTCGCGGGCCTGCTCGCAAGGGAAGGGCCTTCCTGCCCAGGCCCGGGAGACAGCCGGTAGAGACGCCAGATCAGAGCGTTGGCTCGGGTTCGCGTACCAGCAGCGCCGGCGATTAACTGTCGGTGACTCTGGCCTCGTTCCATATTTGCGGGACCTTTCTGCTTGGCTTCAAAATGAACATCGAAGGGGCGAGCATAGGCAACCCCCTTGCACCACACGGGGCCGAGCTGTTGTAGACCATTCAGTTACCCAACCGACACCCGTCACCAGTAAGATGAAGTGTGCTCGGCCGGGCTGGTCCGGCTCCCGTGTCGCCTCGTCTCGTCTTTGACGTGGCCGGCCGCTGCTTGGCTCGGACAGGCCCGGCCGGTGCCGCTTGGAGACGGGCCGAGTCGACAAGTCGAGTGAGCCCCAAGGACACCGCGGACCGCCGCAGGGGTCCCGGGCAGGCACGGCGCGGGCGAGCGCACCTTCGTGCTAGGACTTTGGGCTCCGTCGCGGGGTCGCGGCCAAACAGGGCTTGTCTCGTTTCTCTATGGCTTGTCTAGTGTACCGAGGATATCTCCCCCTCCACCGCCCCAACTGCGTTGCCGGGTGCTTGACGCAACTTTTATCTGTCCGCAGGTATGCTGTGCTCAGTGGCGATGCCCGCCGACTACGAGGTGCCCGCCTTTCACCGGCCGTCCCCGGTGCGCCGGCCCGCCTCCCTGAACCTGGCCGTCAACATCACGCCCCTGAGCGCGCCCCGGCCCATCCTGGTGGTGCGGCCGGAGGGCGCCGAGCAGCCCGCCGTCGAGGAGCAGAAGGCCCCCGTCGAGCTGTCGTCGCCCACCCGCAGCAAGAAGAAGGTCGTCTTCGCCGACGCCGCCGGGAAGCAGCTCACTCACGTCAAGGTCGGGTTAGGCAGCCGTTGCCCAGCCGCGGACTTGTTGTCGACTCGCTTGTTGTTCTCCGTGCGATAAATCTAACGGCAGATCTTTGAGCAGGTCATGACGGAGCCCTCGTTCGCGCCCCCGCGGTGGAGCATGGCCTTCCTGGCGCAGGTGACGCGCGGCGCCGCGGCCGAGGTGTCCCCCGAGCCCTGGGAGCTGACGTTCGCGCAGCCCGCCTCCGACTACCTGCCCTTCCGGGGGAAGCTGGACCGCGAGAACGTGAGCCTGGAGAACGTGATCGTCCGGGAGGCGGAGCAGGTCGTGGTCGGCACCGTCAAGGTGCGGAACCTGGCCTTCCATAAAGAGGTGAGTGTTGCCCGAGGGGTAGCCGCGGGTGTAGTAGTAGGTGCAACCCGAGCCCATGTCGCGGAGAGTTCTAGTCCTTCCCCAGGGTCACGGCGCACCCGGCTGGAACCAGGCGGAACGGCCCTATGGGGCCCCGCCGGGGGGTGTGACACTGTGACAGGACCTGCTAGAGTCCGTTCCCTGTAAAGCCCTTCAGAGAGCGAGCTACGCGAGCTAAATGCCTGCCCCCTACCCCGAACCCCACTTCCCTTAAGTCAGCCGCGTGGAACTTCCCTTCGCGTAAAAACGCGGGGATTTTGAATTGATTTTGGTGCATAACGAACCCTTAATGTTTTCCTCCAGGTCCTGGTGCGGTCGACGTCCGACGACTGGGCGACGCACGAGGACGCGTACTGCACGTACGTGAACAACGGGCCCTGCGCGGCGGGCGTGCCGGTCCTGTACGACACCTTCTCGTTCAGGCTGGCGCTGCCGCCCCAGTCCAGGAAGCTCGAGTTCTGTGTCCGGTTCCGCGCCGAGGGGCACAGCCAGGACTTCTGGGACAGCAACGGGGGCAAGAATTACGTACTCCTCAAGAAGAGCTCGCCGCACAACCCGGTGCCCCAGCTGCAGTACACCAGCCCGACGGTGGACGAGCTCACGTCGAAGGTGAGCACAACAGCGAGGCTGGATTTCCCCTTGGGGCATCCACGATTTCTCTCTTTTTTGCTACTTTTGCTTTGCTTTTGCTTTGCTGATCCCACACATGGCCACCAGCACATTTCCGTATTGGAAATTGTGTTGTTAAAGTTTGAAGTTAAAAGTTGTTCAGAGTAATTTCTATTTAAAGCAGTATTAAAAATGATTATGACCATTAAATTTTTGTTCATGTTAATTACCTAAATTTAACGTGCGGTCCTTTCTTGAATTATTTGTAAAGCAATGATGAGGGTTGCTTCTAAATTTGTGGTCTGGTGGTTCTGTGTGCAGCTAGCTGCTTTAGCTGGAGCTTGGGGCTCGAGGAGCCTTAGGTCGAGATAGTCACCCTGATGTTCGCTGCTGTGGCTGTGCAGATCGGAGGCCTTGCAGTACATCACATCCGCCCAATGAGCCCACCCAAGCAGAACGATATCTACGCCAAGGTGGATTCTTGGTCAGAGTTCGCTTCATGGGATCATCTGAGTATGGATGGGCCTTATTGGTGAAGGTCTAGTGTCAGCTCCCCCATCTCGCAGACAAGCAGCCAGGATGCACATCGAGAAACAAGTGGCAAGTTGATATCTTCTATATTATTGACTCTTCCTTGCAATTTATTTCTTTTTCTGTGTTTATACTTACTTAAATTATGTTTGATTGCAGTTGGTGTACGGCCTGTAGGCCTGTCTGCAGTCGCTCTCATCCATCCAGTCGACTAGACCCTTTTTGTGATATCACCCACCATGAATTGTACATAATTCATCATAGCAATGTATCAATTTCACTTGAAAGACTGATTTTTAGGCATAAACCATAGGTAATCACTCCAGTTCATGTATGAAATTGAGTGGTAATGTGATCTGAATGGGCGATTTTCTTGAAGTTGGACATTAGAGTTTACTCCTTGTTACCTCCAAACTGTCATATGTGCATGTGTGTACCCCTTCCAGAACCTTACTTGACTTTGTTGTGAAGAACTCAATGTGGTTCATTAAAATTTTGTTACATAGGTACTTAATTTGTACACATTGAATCACTTGTATTCTTTAGACATTTTCAAGGGTCAATATTTATGGTCCATCATTTTTTAGACTTTATCGATTACAATACTGAAATATTTTATTTTCAAAGTAAGCTGACTGCGGGCGAAGACTGATTAATATGATGATATAATTAGAATTGGTGTTGTTCATTCAAATGTGGCATAGGTCTTTGATTTCCACATCTTGTCTCAGAATGGCTAATATTTCACTTTTAAATAATTTGATTTCTTTATTTTATTTGTGACTGTGATATGTGAAAGTTATTTGTGAAGCAGACTAAATAGTCGAAGTTTAAATACTAATGAAGTTAAAAGCAATTTTCATGAAATGACTTAGACGTTTGTACTTCTTCACTGTTAATTTAAATTAGCCATTCCAGAGGTTGAAAATTTTGTCAAGCATACAGATTAGGGGCTTGAGCCCTCAGTCGTTGTTATTTAATAGGACTTGCTAATGTAGGCCATTGTTCTTGCTTGTTAGGGGCCGTGGTTATTAGAACACTGTACGTATGCATACAGCTGGCTTTGGATGTGCCATTACAGTAACTCTTGTGCCATTAACTTTCAAATGTTTTGTTCTGAGGTGGTATTGCTTGTTTTGTTGATGTTAAAGGCAATAGTTTTCCTTGGTTTTATTAAGTGTTACATATTAATCTAAGGGGTGAGTTTTGAGATAATTGTATCTCATGAGGCAAAACTAATTTTTAATTTGTCCATGTTTTAATGGTTTTTTTTTTTCTTGATGTCTGCGTATTGAATCATTTTATTGTTAACAATTGTTTTGCCGTGTAAATTTTGTATGACTGGACTGCAATAATTTATCTCTAGTCAGTAATTTAACAAAATATTGCCATAATGCCATATTTTTATACAGTCACTTCCATTGTTTCCCCATCTTTTAATGAAATGAGAGATTTTTTAATTGATAAGTAGAGATGTTTTTAGATGACTAAGGTTTTTAAGAATTCATGAAAATAAAAGTTTTCAATATTTAACTGTGGTCTGACGTGTCTCCACTAGCACTCCCTACCTAGTTTAGCTCTGCGGAACACATGCAAAAGTTCAAGGACAGAAAAGTATACCTGGCTGTAGGCACAAAGCTCGTTTGTCCTACCCTAATTTATCTATTTTAGAAATAAATAAAATAAGTAATGTAGTTAATTACATTATGTTATTTCATTTAGTGGCAGTTGTTGAAATAAGAGCTAAATCA